ACGTGCCTACGAGGTGCATAAGAAGAAAAGTAAGTCCTCAGAAGAGGCAGATATATCCTGAAATGCCTTGAGAGCTCTCCTCACAAAACATTATAGGATATGCTTTCACAGCGGACCGCTGTTGCCAAAGGCTGTCGCTACCCAACAGTGGTGACTAATAACAAAGATGGCAAAGGCACTGCGCAGTGGAGGAGTGACCAACGGAAAGCAAAAAGCAGTGATCATCTGTCTGAACGATAAGTTAACTGAGTTTAGAATAAAGTCCACTACATAGTCCCCGCTCTATATAGTGATTGAGGGATTTAGGGGTTAGGGCGCACATTCGGACACAGAAAACATCTAAACAACTATGAAAACAGAAACTTTTAAAAAGAGCGTGCACAAGGAGAAATGGGCTTGTGCATTTTCTTGTACGCTTTTAATAGGCGTTCCCTCTGGGTTGTGGGCACAGGGTTGTGCATGTGCATTTTTTTTTTTTTAGTGGAGAGGGCAGGACTTTTTTAAAAAATTTGCGAAAATCCTCCACAATACCTTTAAGAAAAGCTGGAAACTAGCTCCGCATGACATAAATGCTCCAGACCACTAGAGGGAGACAATCATCAACTTATACTGTTCCAGACCATTAGTGCAGACATTAACTGGGAGATTAAGTGTATTAAAAAAAAAGGATTCAAACAAAAACGCTTTCTTTCATCAATCTTCTGAGCACTACACTCCATGTATGTTCTTTCCAAGAGTCTGGTCCATATAACCTGCAAACCCAAGTATAGGTTTATTGATCTGGGCCAGCTCCCATCCAATCTATGCGGGGAAACAAAGGCCTTTTAGGTATGAGTTTGTGTGTTAGCATCTTTTATGGGTTTGCCAGCTTTGTTTTTGTATTGCATGTTCTGTGCATTTGTGTATTTGCAGAGCAGTTGCACCTCTCCCCCACCATACTTGTGCATGCTGCAGTCATTAAGCCAACCATGAACCTCCCTGTATATCAAAGTTTTCTACAGTCTAAGATAATGCGGCTGCTAAAACTTAAGCGAGGGGACAGTCCACCCAACATGGCAGCTAATCCAGTTCTTTTTTAAGTAATTTTTTTTTTATTCCAGTAAAGAGAGAAGACTTGAACTGAACAACTTCTGTTGAATTGTTTGATAGTAAATCTCAAACATTCTCAGATGCCTCAAGTGTTTGCTGATCGGAAGGGCGAAACTACAAAAAAAACCTACCAACAGCTAATTTATCAGGCTGTGGGCACATTGACATTTGTTAAGGTTGACTTTCCAAACACCCATCTGTAACTGGTCTGTTGGCATCACTCAGGTGATAAGCGCCTCTGGGAGACCAGCAAGTCCAAGGCCAATACAAAATATTTGAGAAACTTAACAAAAAAAAACAATAAATGAAAACCGACAAAGAAAGAAAAGTTGTCCTTCAAAGAAAGATGGCAACAAAATGCAATAAGAAAAACCCTTTGTGAAACAACTATTGATTTTAGCCTCTAATGCTTATTAGCATTCTAAAATCATGCAAATACAAATGTAAAAATCATAAAGTGACCAAGCAATAAGAAATGTTAAATGAGAGAGAATGAAGGGACAGCAGCATAAACTGTAGAAAACCTTCCACCTATCGCCTTGCTGTTTGTTGGCATACACAGCTTTGGTTTATGTCTAACGCTGTTTCAAATGCCAGCCCATATTTTAAGTGTGCTCAGGAGAAAGGATGGCATGGAGCCAGCTACTGTAAACAAATGAAAAGGTCATGTGCACCATTTAAAGGCAAATTCATCGGTTTCGGTGTCTAAACCAACTCATCTAACATAAAACTTAATAAAAACAAGATGTTCAAGTCTTTTTGGAGCTCATTACTGCTTTCAACCATTTTTTTAAACATAGAAAAGTTGTTATGGGTAATAGATAACCTCTATAACAAATACCTGTGGAGCATTTATTTTTGAAGCCATTGTGTAATCCTGGTCAGTGCAATAAATTCAATGCAATAAATGCTGATAATGTTTTTGAGCTACATGCTGTTCACATCAACACATCCAGCCACACAGTGATTAAAGTCACATCATAGAGATACTGCTTTGTTAGCCACACAGCCAAGAATTATATAAATGAAACAAAAGTACTGTGACCGACTAAAGGAGAGATTAAGAAAGGCTTAAGTGTTGATGTGATGCTTTTTCTGCTGTCTGAGCAGGATGTCGGTGTTTTAAAGAAATATTGGTTAAAAATGCAACCTTTTAAAGCTGCTCTTTAAACAGGAGATTTTCTAAATCTAGTTCAGTGGATCCTGTAGGGTAACTTTGTGTGTCCTGGAAAAAAAAAACATTCATACTCAAATCCTTCCATTTCTGCCCCTTTACAACTGCAAACTATCATGCTTGCATCTTATGCTTTATGTGAGATAAATAACAAAACATGATGTAGTCTATAATGATGGGGTGAAAGGAAAAGGATTAAATCACATATTTGAGTAAATAAACACCTTAAAAGTGTGGTATGTCTATACAGATTGCCTGCTTTCAAGACCACTCAGATTGGATGGATGGTGGGCTCTCAGTTTGAGTCTGGACTTTGACTAGGCCATTCTAATACATGAACATGTATTAGAACATCATATAAACAGGTAAAGAGTAGGGAGGTGGGGGACGTGTCTGCATGCTGAGGAGATATTTCGGTTATTAGATTCCTTCAGGACTGGAGTTTGACACCTTTGATTCCAAATGGAGGTTTCTTTTACAGTTATTGGTGACCCTCCAACCTGGAATCAGATATTATTCACTCTCTAAGGAATGTCCTTTATGCCGATCCATTCAGCTCTCTATTAACTCTGCACAGCTTCCCGGTCCCTGTCAGGAACGTGGAGACTGCCAAGTCTCACGGTGGGGGTGGGGTGTTTAGGGCGATGTCGGGGGGATTTTCTCCTGCGTACAGTATTTTGCATGTTGCCCTGTTAGTTTAAAGCATTTCTAACTGTTTTTTTTTTAAATAAAACTATAACTTAAACCTCTGTCGTCTTTTCTTACTTTTTGCTACTCTTTACTTTTATCCCCCCAAATCCCCCTAAAATGAAGGGTTTGGTTGACAAAGTGTTCAGTGGTCCGAGAAATAGTCCTCTAAAGTAACTAAATGTTGCCATCAACAAACCTTTCAAGTCTCTCGGAGAGGGTGTCAGCCAGATCAAAAGAAGGAGCCTTATACACGTCGGTCAGCTCCAACTTTTTAGTGAAACCTTTCCTCAGGAGCGGGTATATCCACCTGGGGAGAGGGGCAACCACAGAGCAGACTATCAGTTGTTTGAAGCTATAAATGCAGTTCAAAGATATTGCTCAACAAAGCTGGTTGCAAAATCATAAATAAATATGTATTTAAATTGTCCTGAAAGTCTGGAGCGCATACATCACATAAAGTACACTTTGAACATGAGGGTTTAGCTTTTAGATACATTCACTGTGTAGTTAGAGGGTAACAAGCAATACTGGGCAGTATTTAACATGGTTTAGTAGTAAAATTAGCATGTTTTCCTTTGCAATTGATGGCAGGTATAAACTAAATGCAAGTTGAAGTGTAGCAGTGTGAAGAAAACTGAATAAAACTAATCCAACCACATTCATTTAGAGCTGACAAACTTAATAATAGTGCTTCTTTATGCATTTCTCCATACTGTCAGAGTGAGCGGGGAATAAAGGTGAGTGGTTCTGTTCCCAAAGGTTTTTTAACTGTGACTGTCTTTCTCTGATGCTTTTTCCTTTATTCCAGTTTCCTTCAACTTTTAAGTGGATTACATCTAAAAAAAAAAAAAAAAAGGCGCAGTCTGGTAGGGCGCACCAAGAATTACGCACAGATTTGATGAGAGTAACGTTTATTTACGAGAAGAGAAAATGTGTCATTATTATTA